GGCTGAAGCAGATAGACCCAAGACAGCATTTAGCTATGGCCAAGGTCTCTGGTAATACCGAGTGATGCCATTCGGGCTCAGGAATGCTCCAGCAACATTTGGAAGGGCTTCTCTGGTTCTGCTGTGAAGTTTATGCCACAGCCAATGCTCGTGATGCCTCTACCTGGACATCACTCTGGAAGGGAGGGCCAACTCGTCTGCATTTGGTGTGGACATTTATGTAACTCTAAACTGAGCTGTCTATATTTTTTTAGGCAGAAAGGTAAACAATGCTAATAGTTTCACCCACCGCCAACTCTTGTGCTACTTTTTTACCAACAATTCGAACCCACGACCCTCAGATTGCGAGTCGAGCGCGCTAACCGCCTGGCCATGCCAGGTCATCTAAATGGGTTGATTGTAAATTAGATAAGAACATTGCAGGAGTATGACTTTGTTGTATGCCATCGTCTAAGGCCACAACATAGAAAGGCTACTAGACTGTCTTGCCAAATGTTTAGACCATGCCTATTTGTTTAATATATTGACCTTGGATAATGTGTGGGAGTTAAATCCATTTCTGAAATAGTGACATCAAACCACATGATAAGAGATTCCAATAGTAAATGGGCATCACATTTAACAATTAGAAGCTCCAGGAATATCAAGTGAAGAACCTAGATCTAGCATGTTGCTCCTTGCCATCAAACAAGGTAAAGCATGACTATTGCAGTTCGGGGAACACACTACAGATGCACATAACCTATGATACATGTATGAGCAGCTACAAAGCAGAAAGATGCACTGTAATATTGTTATGAACTACCAAGACATGGTTCTCAACCTGTATTGCAGCTACTGGTCCCCAGAACTCTGATGCAGGAAATTATTCAGACTTTTCATATAATTAAAACTGGAGTACATCAAGATGTTACACCTGCCTGTGCTAATGTTCAATGCTGGTTATACTGGCCATATTCGAGTCGAGGCATTAAGTGGTGTTGTAAATATTGTATAGTGTGTGTTGGTTCTTCTTAGCAGAGAATTGTCCTGAAAATTGGTGTTCCTCTTCCAAAACTGAACAATGTAATTGGTTTGTGTCAGTAATTATTGATTACTTCACTATATGAGCTGAGGCTTATCCATCGGTCAGTACTTCAATACAGTCTGTGGTTGATGTGTTGATGGAGTACTTGATAGCCTGGTTATGTAGGCACAGATAAATTCATATGGATAAGGGAGCTAATTTCAGTAGCCAGATATTCTCTGAATTGTGTCAAGTGTTGGGTGTGGTGAGGTCATGCATTTTGTTTTATCACCCTAAGTATGGTAGATTGGAAAGGCAGGTATATAAATTATCAAATATATGCTTGCCAAATTTATTAATCCCAGCAGATCCAACTGGGATGAACACTTTCATGCATCAGGATCATGTATTGCTCGACAGAACAGAGATTGACTAATTGTTCATTGAACATGCTCATGTTTGGTCAAACAATATTGCTCCTTGTGGATGTGATGTATGGTAATCCCTAGAGCAAATGTGCCACAAAATATGTGAAGGCGTTAATGTCTCTGTTTTCGCCTCTAAAACTTAAACTGACACACAGTGAAACAAAATATTATTAAAGTTAAACAAATTTAAATATCAAAATATGACTCTTAGTCAAAACTCTGCCAACAGAAGAGAGCCTGACTTTTAATAATAAAAATAAAAGACAACAACAAAACCAGGTTGCCCATTTCAAGCTATCCGTGCAAATGGCCTACATCTACTGTGATTCAAGTGCAAGGGAGGGACAGCTCTGGGGTACTACTTGTTATGCTAACAGAAAAGATGGTCTTCTACTCTATAACGTCATCATCTATCTTTCCAACAAGAGAATGTGGTTAATA